TTATCATGTAGCGGTAGCTTTCGGAAAGGTGGAAAACATATATTTAATACTTGCGCCGGGTATTTAATGTTCGGCTCCGCCCGAACTTAGACTTTCTTACTTGTTTTGTTATAGTTTTATGTGTTCATGCCTTAACGAAAACCGTATAAATCAAAGTTTGAAACCTTATACATGATTTAAAAAAATTGCACAAATTTTTATAAAAATTTTGAGCTTTTTAATCACAATTTTTATAAAATTTTTGTGCAGTTACAGTTAACTTCAAGGCTTATAAAATTATGTTAAAACAAAAGTGCAAGTTTTCAGCCTCTAAAAATTGCAATGAATTTAAAAAAATTTTTTACGGCGTTTTGCACTTTTATCATATAAGCATAGACATTGCGCAAAACCATTTTTTCCGTTCTTCCTCACAAGCCTTGTACCCACATACCCAAAAATTTTATAAAAATTCTGATTAAAAAGCTCAAAATTCTGATGTAAATTTTTGGACTTTTTCTAAATTTGAAATCTTAATTTATTTATGTATTATGTATGTTTTCGTTAAGCGTGAACAATATTTTTATAAAAACAAGTAATTTCTAAGCAAAAAACAACACCGACTTCAATTCTCATATAAAAATTTAATAGTACCGTTAATTTCTTCATGACCCAATGATCGGATCTATACCAAATTAGTATGGGACCACCCTTGAGGCAACACCTTTCCTAAAAAAAAATCGGAATCGGTCTGGACCCCCAAAAGTTATGCGGTAACATATGTACATAAAAAAATAAATATATTATTAAAACATATTTTTTTGAAGTCGGTTAAAAGCAACAAACATTTTTTATTTGAAAAACATTTTAAATATGACCATGTACTCAGTTTTGCTCGGAAATGTACTTATGTATGTATTTGTGATGTACATGGATCAAAAGCAAGAAAATAGCGGTTGTTATATAATTTACGTGTCAATAACAGCCCTTGACGAATATTTTCTTTTATAAATACGAGTTTAGTTTAACTCGAATGCATCTACTAGGGTAGTCCCAAAAGCACCCGGTCAGACTTATAAGTACAAGTAATTTAAAACAAATAATAACTGTGATCGAGAATTATGAAATCCTTAAAAATCCCTGGACACCGAATGCTACTTTTAAGTATCCGCCTTCGACCAAACTTTACTTTGAGATTTCAATTATCATTTGTTGAAATGTGTCAAATATAATTTTCTATATTTAAAATTTAAATGCCATGCTAATATTTAAATTAATATTAGTGGTATTCATCTAAACCGATAACTTTATCAAGCAGATATTCTTATAAATTTAAGAGCTGTTACATGAATGCCCAATACCATCGTACAGTTCCATAAGTAACGTAACTCTTCTTCTTACCGTTTTTTCTGGCAGGTTGTAGTTGTGTTTTTGGTTAGAATGTTGGTGTTTTTGGTTCAGTGTGTTAGTGTATTTTGAATAAATTGTAACATCAACGGAGATATGTATAGAAGTTACGAACGAGAAAATATTGAATACATTTTTTTCTTTTTAAGACGATCAGTAGAGAAATGTTATTTCTAATTTTTTCATGTATACATGCACTCGAATTTATACAAAATAAAATAAAATATAGGCATATTTAGTGGAACTAATTATATTGAAAAAATACATTTTTCGAAATTATTTCATCGTCGGGTACTTCTGGCACCGCCCTCATATACATATACACTTGTACTTACAGTTGGTCTCAAAAATTATAAGTTAAATATTTCAGCTGAAAGCTGTTAAAATTTATTATTCACCTTATGAAAGCGAACAAAATGTACATTAGGCTGGTCCTTATAATCAAATGAACGATTTTTTTTCAGTTTCATCTGCTTAATCGGTAATACCATAGTCGAAGATATCACATATATATTTTGTTCCCAATTGGAGTCGGTTAAGGCGTGACACCAGATGCCTCTATGGACTCAAAACATTAAAAATATTTTTTGTAACTTAATGTCCATAATCGATACTACTAAAATCGAGGATATCACATTTAAATTTTGGTCACGATTGGAGTCGGTTAAGACGTCTTCATAGTGTAATCTGAACTTTGACCCTTTTGCGACATGCTTTAACCGGCTTCAATCTGGACCAAAATTTATATGTGATATCCTCGACTATGGTAGTATCGATTTTGGGTATTAGATGATAAAAGTGTATCTTAACTTTTGAGTTTCCATAGAGGATGCTGAACTTTGACCAAAATTTATATCTGCTATCTTCGCCTATAGTAGCATCGACGTAGGGCTTGTGGCTTAGGAAATCTGATGTAAAAATATGCTTCCTACATTTCAGGATCCCCCTAATGTACATACATACATATTTATGTAGTAAAAAACGACTGCAAAACAGTGTTGCCAGGTTTTTGACATGGAAAAACGTCCCACTCAGTCTAAAAACGTCTTCTGTACGCAAAACCGTTACACTTCGAATAATTGATTAAGCTTTTAACATCCCAATACAGATGTACATATATATGTATGAAGGGCCGGTGCACAAGGTGACTGCAGCGGCCAAAGCTAATAAAAACGGACTTGTGAGTTCTCGAACCAAATGACCCAAATCAAAGGGAATTTTTGATAAGAATGCATATTTACAGTCATGGGACGAACATTAATTAGCCACAGTGCACTGCGCTCTAAATGACTGTTTTTCTGACCAAAACTAATAGCGGGGGCATTCCTGACAGACGGGACATTTTAACTCGTTTTTTGCTCAATCTTTAAATTATTTCTCTTTATTACTTTGACAAGTTTCAAAATGTTAACACTTGAAGCCAGATATCAGACACTGCGAAACTAATAAAGATTGTATAAAA